CGGAGGATGCCGAATCTCCCTGCGGAAAAATCAAATTCGCGCGAATTCTGAACGTGCAAGATGTTGACTACCTCGCCTGGTGTACAGGAGGTCGTGAGTTCGATCCCGACGCTGACGCCTGCTGCTGTATATTTGGAGTTTGCGGTGTCTCTCTCTCTCTCATCATCACCACGGTGGCTAGGAGATGTTAACTACCTCGCCTAGTACGCAGGAAGTCGTGGTTTCGATCCCGATCTTGACGCCTGCTGCTGTACATTTGGAGTTTGCGGTGTCTCTCTCTCCCTGTAGTCGCGTGGATTTTTCTGGGGGTCCTCCGGGTCTCCCTTCACGTTTAGACTCGGAGCTTGTTCCGAGCGTTTGGCCGCTGTCAGTGTCCACGTGACGATGGTGGGCCACTACGTCGAGCTGCCACTTGCTGTGGTGGTGGCGGTGGTGGTGGTGGCCACGTCGCTTCTGGGAAAGAGCTACGCAGTTTAGTGGGCCTTACCTGGTGAAATAAAACAAATTTAGTTGATAGTTCAGTTTTTAGTTTGTAGGAGGTGTTGCTTGCCTATACGTTGCAGAAGGCCGCGCATTGAGTGCACGGGGTTCGCACGCCGGGTTGACTCGCATGGGTTGATTCCTATGAATGCTGAACTTCTTTCGCACCGTACGTAGCCAACCATGCTAAGCGGAGGTGCGGTGGAAGGACACCAACACGAAACACGAAAGGCAATTCTAAAGAAATGCGTTTTCAAATCGAGTATTTAAAAGCGCAAAGCTCCAGTGGCTTCCACATATTAATGATGATTTGTGTTACTCGCGTTTGCAACACGAGGCCACGTGTGTCTCTGCGGTGATTGTGTGACGTGTGCCGCGCGTGTGACGAGTTGCTGACGACTCACGTGGTGGGCATTTGGTGGCCACGTGTCCACATCGCACCTGGGTCAGCCAGGTCGGGGTCAGCCAGGTCGGGGTCAGCCAAGTCACACACGCACGCACGAGTCGTGACTCGCAGTGTGTTACAGAGTAGGTTGCGTGTGTGTCCAGTGTTTGTGAGTGAGTGAGAGTGAGTGTGTATTTGTGAGTGTGTGAGTGAGTGTGTATTTGTGAGTGTGTAAGTGTGTGTGAGTGTGTATTTGTGAGTGTGTGTATTTATGAGTGTGTGAGTGTGTCAGGGAGTGTGTGTGCATTTGTGAGTGTGTGAGTATGAGTGAGTGTGTAAGTGTGTGTGTGTGAGTGTGTGTGTGTATTTGTGAGTGTGAGTGTGTGCGTGTATTTATGAGTGTGTAGTGTGTGTGAGTGTGTATTTGTTAGTGTGTGTATTTATGAGTGTGTGAGTGTGTGTGTGAGGGAGTGTGTGTGTATTTTTGAGTGTGTGAGTGTGTGTGTATTTGTGAGTGTGTAAGTGTGTAAGTGTGTAAGTGTGTATTTGTGAGTATGTGTATTTATGAGTGTGTGAGGGAGTGTGTGTGTGTATTTGTGAGTGTTTGAGTATGAGTGAGTGTGTAAGTGAGTGTGTGTGTGTATTTGTGAGCGTGTGTGTGTATTTTTGAGTGTGTAGTGTGTGTGAGTGTGTATTTGTGAGTGTGTGTATTTTTTAGTGTGTGAGGTGTGAGTGTTTGTGAGTGTGTATGTGTATTTGTGAGTGTGTATGTGTATTTATGAGTGTGTAAGTGTGTGAGTGTGTATTTGTGAGTGTGTGTATTTATGAGTGTGTGCGTGTGTGTGAGGGAGTGTGTGTGTATTTGTGAGTGTGTGAGTGTTTGTGAGTGTGTGTGTGTTTGTGAGTGTGTGTGGTTGCTGGCTTGTGTGGAGCGGTAGTGTAGTGGTTAGCGCTACGCTGCGCTATGAACCCCGGCGACCCGGGTTCGATTTCCGCTCATGGCCAACACCGGTGACGATTATCTGAACTGGTCCTGAGCCTCCCCTATTTCGACTCAGCCTCAACCGAGTGCCGAGTGCGGTGTGTAAACATCGCCACTGGGGAGACAAAGGCGGCCGGGTGTGGTGCTGGACACCCACCCCCTCGTGTGCCGTGCCGGCCTTCGTAGGTGCTGCTACTCGCTAACAGCACTTGCCCAAATAGTCTGTTGAAGCTACATGGGGGATCTTTGTGTGATTGTGTGTGCACATGCATTTGGAATGCGCACTCCCACAATCACGTTCCTCGAATCCCCCTGACTCGGCACACGTGTCAAGCATATCTCTGGTATGTGTGTGTGTATGTCGAGTGTGTGTGTGTATGTAGAGTGTGTGTATATAAAGTGTGTGTATATAAAGTGTGTGTGTGTGTATGTAGAGTGCGTGTGTGTGTGTGTATGTAGAGTGTGTGTGTATATGTAGAGTGTGTGTGTGTATGTAGAGTGTATGTATGTGTATGTAGAGTATGTGTGTGTGTGTATGTAGAGTGTGTGTGTATGTAGAGTGTGTGTGTATGTAGAGAGTGTGTGTATGAAGAGAGTGTGTGTGTATGTAGAGTGTATGTATGTAAAGTGTGTATGTATGTAAAGTGTGTGTATGTAAAGTGTGTATGTAGTGTGTGTATGTAGAGTGTGTGTGTGTATGTAGTGTGTGTGTATGTAAAGTGTGTGTATGTAGAGTGTGTGTGTATGTAGAGTGTGTGTGTGTGTATGTAGAGTGTGTGCGCGTGTGTGTATGTAAAGTGTGTGTGTGGGGAGCGGTGGCGCAATGGTTAGCGCACTGCACTGCGCCCCCCCGATGACCAGAGCTCACGGTCAGTGACGATTATCTGAACCAGTCCTGATCCACCCCCTAGGTCGACTCAGCCATAAACGAGTACCTTGGTTCGTGGTGTAAACATCGCCACTCGGGAGACAAAGGCGGCCGGGCGCGGGTGCTGGCCACCCGCCCCCTCGCGTGCTGTGCCGGCCTTCGTAGGTGCTGCTCGCTAACAGCACTTGCCCCAAAAGTATGCAGAGGCTACACGGGGGATCTTTGCCTTCCTGAGCACTCCCCAAGCAGTCATTCCCCACATCCTTTCCCATCACCCCCACATCCCATTCCCCTCCCGCTCCCTGCCTCCCCCGTAAGCCCGCGGCTCCCCCGGTACAGATCCCCTTTGTAAAGGGGGTAACCCCCCCCTCTCTCACCCCGTGTACCCCTCGCGACCTTCCGTCACGGGGCCTGTGCCCTCATTAACCCCCCACGTAGTCCCCGTGTCCCCGTGTCCCACGTGAACGGGTCCCCGTGTCCCCGTGTCCCACGTCCCCATGTCCCCGTGTCCCCGTGTCCTACGTGAACGTGTCCCCGTGTCCCCGTGTCCCACGTGAACGTGTCCCCGTGTCCCCGTGTCCCACGTGTCCCACGTGTCCCCGTGTCCCACGTGAACGTGTCCCCGTGTCCCCGTGTCCCACGTCCCCATGTCCCCGTGTCCCCGTGTCCTACGTGAACGTGTCCCCGTGTCCCCGTGTCCCCGTGTCCCACGTGTCCCACGTGTCCCCGTGTCGGAGTGACGATTATTTAAGCCGGTCCTGGGCCTCTTCGAGGTCGACTCAGCCTCAAATGGCTACCTGGCGCGGTGTTTAATCATCGCCACTGTGGAGACAAAGGCGGCCGGGCGTGGTGCTGGACACTCATCTCCTCGTGTGCCACAGTGCCGGCCTTCATAGGCGCTGCTACTCGCTCACAGCACTTGCCCCCAAATTATGTCGGGGCTATACCGTGGGGGGGGGGGGGGTATGGCCTTTGTATTTGTCTGCAGGCGAGCGCTTGTTTAATTAACTGAGACTCAAAACAACAATCGACTCTTATCTCGGTAAATAATTATATAACGGATATGTAAATGGAGATGTACGCGTGAGTGGTGATTATATAATTATATAATCCCTTCCCAGCGAGGGGAGCCTCAGGGAGTCTCGCGAGGCTCCATCCCAACATCTCCCATAGCTCCATCACTCCTCGCATATCTCTCCCACTCTCTCTGTCTCCCTGACCACACACGTGCCGGTGATGTGCGGAGCGTCTTCTTCGAACGCTGGGGGGCCGGACAAGCCCCCCTCTGTACCAGCGTGGACGGCACCCCACGTGTTCACCTTCTGACGCGCTCGTTCGTCACCTTGGCGGGCGCGATGACCACCACCACCACCACGTGGCTTTTATTTCGTGTTGTGCGCGGCGCCACAGCACGTGGATGTATAGTGTTTGTTGTTTATTTGTGTTGCTGGTGACTTTGTGTGTTTGGTATCGGAACCGCCTCCAGTGCTGTTGCTGCTGGCGACAATAAAATGTGTTTAAAAGTCAAAGTCTCTTCGCCTTTTCCCACCGCTCTCGCTCCCTCTTAGTCCTTCATCTTTCTCTCTCCTCTCTCTCCATGCATCGCTCCCTCTTCCCATTTAGAAACCTGCGTGGAGTTGGCTGCTATAAATGTCCACGTGATTAGCCAACTTCGTTGAGCTTTCATTTGTGGCCAGGTCGCTTCTGAAACAATCAGCTAATAGCTCAGTGTTGTGGCTTGGCTCTCGAACACACAACCGGTGTGTGCTGTGCACGTGACGAATTGGCACGTTCTGTTTACGTGACAACCCTTACTAGTTGGCTGTGTCGGGTGGTGGCGGATTTACCCATGATAGTTTAGTTTTATGTGTATATATTTTCGTGATTTGCTTCCGGTTCCTATACTTTGCACTCCTGACGTGTTTTGTTGCTGTTTGTCGTACTGTTCTGACCCGCCCCTACTCGACATCTGTGACGAAGAGCTTTAGAGATAATCGGATTCCTCCACTGTCAATGAATATTCTCATTCTGACACAAATCTTAATTTTCTGTCTCCATCTCCCGCCTTCCTCTATCCATTCCCTTTGATCTCTCCCCCTCTCTCTCTATCTCTGGCTCTCTCCCCCGTCTCTCTCTCCCCAATCTCTCCCCGTCTCTCTCTCCCCCATCTCTCCCCCGTCTCTCTCTCCCCCATCTCTCCCCCGTCTCTCTCTCCCCCATCTCTCCCTCGTCTCTCTCTCCCCAATCTCTCCCGCGTCTCTTCCTCTTCCCCGTCTCTCTACCCCATCTCTCCCCCGTCTCTCTCGAATTTGCTTGTCATCCTTGCTCAGGGGCCATGCTAATCTTCTCTGTATCGTTCCAATTTTAGTTTATGTACTGCCGGAACTCCCCCGTCTCTTCCTCTCCCCCGTCTCTCTCTCCCATCTCTCTCCCCCGTCTCTCTCCCCCGTCTCTTCCTCTTTTTTTACGATCAGAAGAAACAAGAAGATGCTCGGTGTAGTCGGCACTTTGCTCCGTTCATCATTTCGTTTTTTTTTAATGCTTTGCTTTATGTAACCCCCCCCCCCCCCCTTTTAAATGAAAAACCCAAAAAAATGTGTTTCCCCTTCCCTCTCTCTCTACCCCTCTCTCTGCCTCTCCTCTCTCTCTACCCCCTCTCCACCCCCCCTCTCTCTCTGCCCCCTCTCTTCCTACTCCATTTGGCTCTCTCTCGCTCTCTTTTTTCTTTATAACTACGACAAGTGCTGCATCTGCACGCAGCCCTTCCCACAGTCAAACGGCCTCCGACGGGTAGCTTAGATCTGCAAAAATATGGAACGCTTCACGAATTTGCTTGTCATCCTTGCTCAGGGGCCATGCTAATCTTCTCTGTATCGTTCCAATTTTAGTTTATGTACTGCCGGAGCAACCCCGTCTCTTCCTCTCCCCCGTCTCTCTCTCCCATCTCTCCCCCGTCTCTCTCTCCCCCGTCTCTCTCCCCCATCTCTCCCCCGTCTCTCTCTCCCCCATCTCTCTCTCCCCCATCTCTTCCTCTCTCCCCCGTCTCTCTACCCCATCTCTCCCCCGTCTCTCTCTCCCCCATCTCTCTCCCCCATCTCTCCCCCGTCTCTCTCTCCCCCATCTTTTCCTCTCTCCCCCGTCTCTCTCCCCCATCTCTCCCCCATCTCTTCCTCTCTCCCCCGTCTCTCTCTCCCCCATCTCTCTCCCCCATCTCTCCCCCATCTCTCCCCCGTCTCTCTCCCCCATCTCTCCCCCGTCTCTCTCCCACATCTCTTCCTCTCTCCCCCGTCTCTCTCTCCCCCATCTCTCTCCCCCGTCTCTCTCTCCCATCTCCCCCCCGTCTCTCTCTCCCCCATCTCTTCCTCTCTCCCCCGTCTCTCTCTCCCCCATCTCTCTCCCCCGTCTCTCTCTCCCATCTCCCCCCCGTCTCTCTCTCCCCCATCTCTTCCTCTCTCCCCCGTCTCTCTCTCCCCCATCTCTCTCCCCCGTCTCTCTCTCCCATCTCCCCCCCCCCCCCGTCTCTCTCCCCCATCTCTTCCTCTCTCCCCCGTCTCTCTCTCCCCCGTCTCTCTCCCCCATCTCTCCCCCGTCTCTCTCTCCCCCATCTCTCTCCCCCGTCTCTCTCTCCCATCTCCCCCCCGTCTCTCTCTCCCCCATCTCTTCCTCTCTCCCCCGTCTCTCTCTCCCCCGTCTCTCTCCCCCATCTCTCCCCCATCTCTCTCCCCCGTCTCTCTCCCATCTCCCCGCCGTCTCTCTCTCCCCCATCTCTTCCTCTCTCCCCCGTCTCTCTCTCCCCCGTCTCTCTCCCCCATCTCTCCCCCGTCTCTCTCTCCCCCATCTCTCTCCCCCGTCTCTCTCTCCCATCTCCCCCCCGTCTCTCTCTCCCCCATCTCTTCCTCTCTCCCCCGTCTCTCTCTCCCCCGTCTCTCTCCCCCATCTCTCCCCCATCTCTCTCCCCCGTCTCTCTCCCATCTCCCCGCCGTCTCTCTCTCCCCCCTCTCTTCCTCTCTCCCCCGTCTCTCTCTCCCCCGTCTCTCTCCCCCATCTCTCCCCCGTCTCTCTCTCCCCCATCTCTCTCCCCCGTCTCTCTCTCCCATCTCCCCCCCGTCTCTCTCTCCCCCATCTCTTCCTCTCTCCCCCCTCTCTCTCTCCCCCGTCTCTCTCCCCCCTCTCTCCCCCCTCTCTCTCCCCCGTCTCTCTCCCATATCCCCGCCGTCTCTCTCTCCCCCATCTCTTCCTCTCTCCCCCGTCTCTCTCTCCCCCGTCTCTCTCCCACATCTCTCCCCCGTCTCTCTCTCCCCCATCTCTCTCCCCCGTCTCTCTCTCCCATCTCCCCCCCGTCTCTCTCTCCCCCATCTCTTCCTCTCTCCCCCGTCTCTCTCTCCCCCGTCTCTCTCCCCCGTCTCTCTCTCCCCCGTCTCTCTCTCCCCCGTCTCTCTCCCCCATCTCTCCCCCGTCTCTCTCTCCCCCGTCTCTCACCCCCGTCTCTCTCCCCCATCTCTCCCCCATCTCTCTCTCCCCCGTCTCTCTCCCCCATCTCTCCCCCGTCTCTCTCTCCCCCGTCTCTCTCCCCCATCTCTCCCCCGTCTCTCTCTCCCCCGTCTCTCACCCCCGTCTCTCTCCCCCATCTCTCCCCCATCTCTCTCTCCCCCGTCTCTCTCTCCCCCATCTCTCCCCCATCTCTCCCTCCCCCGTCTCTCTCTCCCCCATCTCTCCCCCATCTCTCCCTCCCCCGTCTCTCTCCCCCATCTCTCCCCCATCTCTCTCTCCCCCGTCTCTCTCCCCCATCTCTCCCCCATCTCTCTCTCCCCCGTCTCTCTCTCCCCCCTCTCTCCCCCATCTCTCCCTCCCCCGTCTCTCTCTCCCCCATCTCTCCCCCATCTCTCTCTCCCCCGTCTCTCTCTCCCCCATCTCTCCCCCGTCTCTCTCTCCCCCGTCTCTCTCTCCCCCATCTCTCCCCCATCTCTCCCTCCCCCGTCTCTCTCTCCCCCATCTCTCCCCCATCTCTCCCTCCCCCGTCTCTCTCTCCCCCATCTCTCCCCCATCTCTCTCTCCCCCGTCTCTCTCTCCCCCATCTCTCCCCCGTCTCTCTCTCCGAGTCGCTGACTGAGCGCCCTGCTCGAGGTCGTGTTTACATCTCCCGCCACTCCCTGGAGCTCGCCCCACACGCTGCTGCTGCTGCTGCCGCCGCCGCCTTTTAATAACACAAAGACAAAGACCCGCCCCCTCCCCGTGTAGCCTCAACAGACTGCTGGGGCAAGTGTTGTTAGCGAGCACCTTTGAAGGCCGCCACGGCACACGAGGGGGTGGGTTGCCAACACCACGCCCGGCCGCCTTTGTCTTCCCAGTGGCGATGTTGACCACATACCGCACCAGGTACTCGTTTTGAGGCTGAGTCGACCGAGGGGAGGCCCATGACCGGTTTATATAATCGTCACTGGGGTTGGTGGCCGTGAATCGAACTCGGGTCGCCAGGCACGTTGCGCATAAGAATCACTCCGTCACCCTCTCTCTCCCCTCGCTCCCCTCTCTCCTCTCCCTGTCACCCTCTCTCTCCCCTCGCTCCCCTCTCTCCTCTCCCTGTCACCCTCTCTCTCCCCTCTCTTTCTCCCCTCTATGATGTCCACCTCATTGCATTTTAAACATCCCTAGAACAGGAATTGGAAGAGGAGACCAATCCTTTGCAGCAGCAGCAGCAGCACCACCACCACCAACGAATTGGAACAACCTCGTTCCCAAAATATCTTAAAGCAGAAGATTGACGCTGGACACGGCAGCCACTATCGTAACTCTTATTCGTTACTTTGATCCTTATTCCCGTGGCATCGCGAGTTCGAGGGTTAATGTTCCGTTGTGTTGATGGACGATTCCTGTGTGCTGTTGTCTTGCTCTAGATTTGTTGGTGTTATAATTTATTTATGTAGTTTATTGTAAAAAATTCGGTCACAGTCCCTATGATCACTGTTACATTGGATTTATGGCTTTTATTTTGGTGATTTCGAAAAGTTTATTTTTTTGTTTTGGCCATGTTTTTGTTTATTGTAGTACGGAGTTGACTGATGGCCTTAATCTTAGTTAGTTGTCTTGTGGTTGTTGTGGTTGTTGTTATTTGACTTGCATCCCACTGGGATTTTTGCACACAGCGTTGGTGTACGGTGCTATTTCAGGAATATTTTGATATTTTTTTTCCTGTATTTTCTGTTTGCACAGTCACATAATCACTTTAAGATGTTTTCTTGTTCATGTTTTTTGTTTGTTGCGGTTGCACCCGATTCAAGAGCCGAATGGCTCACAGGGCTATACCAAATAAATGAAAACTATGGAACTAACTATGGGACTGTTTGTTGTTGTTTTGCTGCCTTGGCCAAGCGTGTTGATTCGGACTTTTATTTATTTATATTTAGTGACTTCATGTGACCTCCCGTGGCAGTATGAAGACATAAGAACAGTTTTTACCCTTGCTGGCAATAGAGCAGTTGTGTGTTCAGATGTTGAAACACCAAACAGAAACATTTTTCAAGGAATCATGGACTGCATTAAGCACACATACTTGTGGTGAACACGCAAACAAGAAAACAACATGTTCTGGTCGTAGATGATGATGATGATGCGTTTTCCCTGAAACGGATTGGTCCACACCAGAGGCAGCTTCTCTTAGAGCCTCGTCTCACGAACAGTGATGGACCAGAGGACAACGCCACAAGGCGAACAGCACAAAGGCAGTGCCACTATCAGGACAACACTTTCTCTGGCAGTATATTTTAGTTTGCGTGTTCACCACAACGATGTGTGCTTGATGCAGTCCATGATTCCTTGAAAGAGGTTTCTGTTTGGTGTGTTAACATCTGAACACACAACCGTTTTATTGCCAGCAAGGGTAAAACCCATGATTATATTTAGTGACTTCCTCACCTTTTTCTTAATTTTGCACTCGCATCGTGAGTTTTTGTATCGTTCGCTGCTGCAACTCGCTGACCCACCCACACCTACCCACTGGACATCTGTGAACAAAGAGCTTCCTCGCTCATCGGATTCCTTCTCCTGCTGCAGTCGAAATAGCGATTCTGATTCTCTCTCCCAGACACACACACGCAGTCTCACACTCTCTCTCTCTCACTACGTGGCCGGGAGTCAGAGCCATTCCCTGTACACCTTGGGGTGCGACAGGGATGTCCTCTGGCTCCCACATTATTTAACATCTATTGCGACCACGTAGTTCGTGGAGCCTTCAGTAGCTGTACCGGAGGAATTTCCATCTGGTACAGATACAATGGGAGGCTGATCGATGCCCGGGTGCGGTCAAGGGATGGCTGCCTATTGGTCAACCACGTTATGTATGCCGACGACCTGGTAATTGCGGCTCACTCAGAGGAGTTGGAGGCGCTGCTG